GGACTAACCAGCCCAGGTAAATTCAATCTTGTGTCTAATCTGACAACGGTGGCCTTTTCAGCCCAGGGTGGCCTGATAGCCTTAGGGTGGCCTGATAGCCTTCAGGGATCCCCCACTGGGGGCACCGGCCAGGGGACAGCCGGTAGCAGAGGGACCGAGCATCATCTGAGTGGCCAGTCGCTGTGCCTCCCTGAGTACCCCTCCCCCTATGAACATCAGCAGAGACTGCTTTTTAATCCCAATTGGGGGGACCAACGGGCTATCTCTAGGTGGCGTGCTCTTTTTTTTTTGTTTTACCTCTTTTATACAACTACGCTATATTCTTCTCTCATATTTTTTGTCTGCCTTTCACTTTCTACCTACCACTACTCCAAATTGTCGAAGGCTATATAGAGGGGGGTCCTGCGAGCATAGCTACTTCGGAATGAAAGGATTGCATGTTGCCCCCCGCCCCAACAGCGGGAGTCAGAGATGGGGTGGGGCCGCCAGTGGGGGTTCGGGCTAACACAAAAGGCCGAGCATTCATCGCTCCCCACTCCAAACCAAATAGCATTAGCGTCTAAGGCCAACACCCTCCCACACACAACCCACTCACACTCGCACTCACACCCGTGTTGGCCATAGACCCTACTGATACCAATCAGAGGTATCAAGTGGACAATCACAGCTCGTTGGCACTAAGTGCGCTGCAGGCGGCTATGGGGCTCGAACCCACAACCTCCTGAATGCCACTTGCGTGCCTAACCAACTGAGCTAGGCTGCTGGATAAAGTAAGCTCTTTCCAGTTGATAGATATGTCACTGTATATATATAAAAATTATATATATATATATTATATCTATGTATATATTATATTATAATAATTGTATATTATATTTGTGACGATATATATTATACATATATATATTGTCACATATCTGTGAACTAAAAGAGCGCACTTTGTGAAAGAAATGGTAAAATTTCAAAAAAAAGTTTAAAAAACAAGACCTACGTGAAGGGCACACTGAAACCGTTCATTTTTCTCATTGTTCTTTTCAACTTCCCGTTCACCGTGCATCTCACGAACAAGGCTCGCCAAGTTTACGAAGTTGAGTGCTAGCTGCCATCATCCCTGTGTGCCATAACGGCCCACGTGTACGCTCTGAGAAAGAGGCAGAATAAGGGGGAAGGGGTAAACACAGGGAAGAGAGATGGAGAGAAGACAAACAAAGAACGGCAAAGGGAAAGCAAGGGAAAGCAAGGGAAAGTGAGTATGGAGTGTGGAATGAAGATGAAGGCAAAGGAGAAGTTAAGAAAAGGCTAAAGAATGAGTCTGTCCTTGACGACAGAGAGGACATACACTGTAAGGAGTAGAGGGATGGACACATGGAAGACCTGGCTGAGCATTCTCAGTACAAGAATTGCCATATATGATATATACATATATAATGTCAATTTGTCACATATCTATGAACTAAAAGAGCACACTATGCATGTACGTATATGTATATATAGTCAAACAGAGCTGCCCGGTAAACCGTAGGCAGAGAGGGAGAAGAGGACAACAAACGAGGGGCTGTGCAATCAGACTCGTTTTCAAACACACTTTTCACACATGTAAACAGTAACGCAGCACACTGGCGACATGCGCCCACTCAAAACTCAGAGATATGG